GTCGCCGATGTGTCAACGGCGTCTCGATCTCCTTCGCGTTCGCGGCGTGATCGCTGCGCGATAATTGAGGTAAATGCGAAGGCGTATCGCGCGGATCAAGTGACGGCGAAGACGGTCCGCCAGGTGCGTCGGTTTATCGATAACAGGTGTCCCGCGTCGGAAACTAATGCCCTCCCGGACGCCGGTGCCACACGATAAAGGTTACGTCCGCGAGCGGGACAGATGAATCGATTGCGGTAGTGTGAGAGGATAGGATAGGATAAGGATCATGTCGAGAAAGTGGCTGTCGAATTTCGCCCTGGCCGGCACCATCAGGCTGCTGATAATGAACTCCGATTATCAGAAGATCATCGGCAACCGCGTCGAGGTGTCGACCGCCTTGAACTCCTGGAAGAGAGGTTAGTCGCGGGGTCTGGCACGGCCTGCTCTCCAGCTCCAGGACGAGCGTAGTTTTTCCTCACGGTCATGTTCGATTGTTTTTATTTTAAACGCTGAAATATTAACATTAGAACTATCGACGATTAATTTCTTAAAAAAAGAAAAAAATGGATAAAGGGGAAAATAAATTGATCGATTTGATCATTTGCGACCAATGTCATGAAAGATCTTAAAAAAATACAGTTATGAATTTGAGTAATTTTCGTAAAAAATTATAAACCACAGTCGCTCTGACTGCTCTGGTAGTTCTGATGTTAAATATCGTTTTGATTAATTAGCGCCAAATTGACTTTGCAGTCGCGTTTTCAACGCATTCTTGATTTTCCAGTAACCGAAGGAGTTTACCTGCATAAGATCGGCGTAGACCCATACGAGGGAGATCTGTTTCACGAGACCCCGATCGGCTTGTACGCGTTCGACTTGATGCAGGAATACTTACCTCAGTGGGCATTATTTCTGCTGTTTGTTGTTGTCGACCTAACCACTGCTCTGTGCCTCGCTCTTGCAGCCAAACATTATGCAATTGAGTTGGTCGGTACAGTATTAGAATTTAAACTTGTTCAGTTTGAAATCTTCGTGATAAAAGGTACACGCGATATTTATTTCAACTTGAATTACAGGCAACGAAGAGAAAAGGGGAGAAGGACGAGACTAAGAAGCCTAGTAAAGACGTTTCCAGCACGTCCGCGTTATACGTTTCCACAGCGTATCTGTTCAACCCGTACATAATATTGAACTGCGTTGGCCTGACGACCACGGTATTCACCAATCTACTCTACTCAATCGCATTGGTGTCGATGACGAGACGCTCCGTGCTCTGGAGTTGCGCGTCGATAGCGTTATTGACGTTGCAAGGACTTTATCCCGTGTCGCTCATGGTACCGGCAACCATTTACGTTGTCAGTACGGCGAAGAACCGAAAGACCAGCATTGCTACGATGCTGGTCACATTTACGAGCATCCTGGCAGCCCTATTCGCCATTTCTTACTGCATCATGGGGAGCTGGTCGTTTTTGTGGAGTACCATCGGCTTCATCCTAACTGTTCCCGACTTACGTCCGAATATCGGACTGTACTGGTACTTCTTCACGGAGATGTTCGAGCACTTCAGATGGCTTTTCATCGCGTCCTTTCAGATAAACGTCAGTTTACTGTACATAGTCCCCCTAGCGCTGCGATTACGACGCGATCCGATGCTATTGGCGTTCTCCTACCTAGCGATAGCTGCCATATTCAAGTCCTATCCGTGCATCGGAGACGTCGGCTTCTATATATCTCTACTGCCGCTGTGGAAGCACTTGTTCCAACGTGAGTTTGAGTCGAACTCTTGATACTTTCATTCGTACAATTCCGAGCGACACGAATTGTTTTAACAATTACCTTGCCTTTTTTTCTAGACATGCAACAAGGATTCATCGTAGGTTGTTTTGTACTGTTTTGCACGGTCTTCGCTCCGACTGTGTGGCATCAATGGATCTACTCCAGATCGGCGAACGCAAATTTCTACTTTGGGGTAACACTGGCGTTCGCCATAGCGCAAATCTTCCTCCTCACGGACATCCTGTTTGCCAGTGTGAAACACGAGTTTGCAGTTCAGCATGGTATCAATAAGAAAGTTAACGGAAATGAGGCTAAACTGCTGCTCGAATAAAATAAGCTTTTTTTAGATCGAAATGCATAATACCCTGCCGATGAACAGTGACAAGTGATACATGTCTTTGAATCATTTGTTATAAATAAAAATAGTTTTTTACAAAAGTCTGCTTTTATTTTGATTGATGCATGCGTTCATTCGTTTAAAATGTTTACAATATCACAGTACGAATTTACAGTATAAAACTCGCTTACTTCTAAAATACATACTAAAATGATACGCTATGTTTTATAGTTAAAATTATAAACGTGTACATGTTTAAAAAATCAAATATTTTACATAAAAATTCATTTTTATATAATCAGTGCAAAACTATTTAAAATCTTTTATGTAAAACTTACTATTTACTTTAAAACTAATTATTATATAGTAATTTTTAAATTGTAGATTAATAGCATTATATATTGTACATCAATTATACATTATATACTGCACTGCTATCTTTTATACATATATATACATTATACATATATATTCCCTAGTTTTTTCGTAAAATTACTTGATATCACATGCTACCTCCGAAAAATGTTTGTGTATATGATCAATCTATAAAACAATCCAAATATTATCAGAGAGATATTAAACAATCGTGTTCTCGTATATCTGTCTCGTACTTAATATTTAGTAATACTGATATCTTTGTACTGTGATCAACTCTTACACTTATCAAAACTGACGTTTATCCTTGGACTTCATACTGAATACTAATACTTTTACCCCTTTCAGGCAACTTAAAAACAATGATCTTTAATTATGTCACGCTTAATACTGATTTTTAGGTAACTTTAAAATGATTAAAATTAAAACGTTAATAAAATGATGTATCAAACCAATGTATGATCTACGTGCATTCGTAAAAAATGCAATAATGCCCTAAATCCTATATGAATCGGTTGTTATTTTTAATCTTTCTTTGACTTTAAATTTTCTCCCTTTAACTTTAAATTTTCCATTTTACGCACAAGTTCATCAAATGTTTTTGTTCTATTTTCTTCCCCAAGCTCTACGGTAACGGATAACTCCGTTGCTCTTGATGGGCCACTACCATTACATGACTTAACTTTAGAATTGCCTTTCAATTTCGCTATTACATCATTGTTTAATGGCAACTGTTCAAAGGGAATATTTGCGTTATGTTTTTTGCAGTATTTCCAAAGTACTTCCCAATGTTCGTTTTTGCAGAGTATATTTGGATTTCCTATTATTATCATAAGTGCTTTTGCACGTGTTAAAGCAACATTAAATCTCTAGAAAAAAAAGTTACATATAATTTTACATATATACATATATACGCGCACACACACACACACATCACCCCGAATTATAAATAATTAATAATATATATACATATATGTTCGAGTCTACTTTAATCACAAAAATTTTAATACTTTAAACTGCACTCCCCGTACGGGAAGTAAATAGGGGACTCTCGTGCGGAGAAACTGAGCTCCGTCTTTCGAAAGAGACGTTAAACTGTTGGTCCGCACATGGCAACTGGTGGCAACTGCTATGTGTATCCCCCCATGATGATGATATATGTATATATACACACATACAATTCGGGGTGATGCTACGGTGATTCTATGTGAGAGTAATTAACTCACAGTTAACGGATTCTAGGTTCATAGTACATGTAATGAATAACATACCTTTGGATTGGATAAGAAACCAATGTGTTCTTTATCATTGTGTTCGAAGACTTTAGATCGTACCGTGGATAAAATCATCACATTTCGTTCTTGTCCCTGAAATGTTTCGACTGTTCCTACAGTTATGCCTTTTATCTTCATAGCTTCTAGATGATGAATAATATCTAGTTGCTGTTGTTTAAAAGGCGTTACAATCCCGATATCCTTTGGTGTTATCACGTGTTTTCCAAATTTCGTCTTAATCAGGATACTCACATACATTAGTACCGCCAGTACTTCGGCGGTGTTGCAGACACTGCAAATGTATCACGCTTATGTTTATGCAATTTTGCAGACAAATTAATTATATAAAAATTTGATCCTGATTTAAGACAATTGTAACAAAGTTTGCATATACTTAAATATATTAACCTTCGGTTTAAAGATCTTGTTTCTGTGCCTAAAACTTCTTGGAATATCATAGGAAAATTTTTATTGGGCAATTGTGACCAGTTCAACGCCATTCGTATATCGGCTCCTCCACAGATCTTTAAGTCACCACAATAAAATTGTTTATTTGACACGTGTAAAAGATTTTCATGACTACGGAAATTTTGAACTAATTTCGTTATATAGTTCGGATTATATGTTCCATCCTGCTTTTTATACGGGTCACAATCGTCCATTAATCTTTCTAACATGGATCTTCCTGTTAGGGTAATAAATTAAATAGTTAAAAAATATACAGATTACACGACATTTAATGCATTTTGAAAAAACTTGCCGAGAAGATGCTCAATCCTTTTGCAACAAACAACAGGTCCCAATTGATAAGGATCACCTGCGATAACAATTTGTGGATGAAATCTAGTATTCTCATCAGATTCTTTATTTGTTATCGCTAGAGGAATCAACATCTCTGGTTCAATCGCTTGACTTGCCTCATCAATAATTATGTAAGAAAAATGATTTTCTCGAAAATTTACATCAATCAATCTGTAATAAACGATACATGACATGTCAAATATCTTCTAGAAATTTAATTTAACAATATCAATTTAATTAAGAAGTATCTCTATATCTAAACAATGTTCATATAAATAATTACATATATGTATAATTAATTTTATTTAATCATATAGAAATTTTTATAACTATTAAAAGTAAAAATTTTGACTGCATATCTAAAATAACATATACATACACAAAAGAAAATAGAACAACATGTCAAATACATACCTTACAGATGATACTAATGTTGTAATAATAATTTTTTTCCGTAACAGTAACTCTTTTGACAAAAAGAGAGTAGATTCTTGAACAAAATTCGCACATGATTGAATTTCATTCTTCACAGTCGACCTGTTTTTCAACAGACAAAATTCAATTCGTATATTTATTTTGCGAGTTTTGTCACCCTTCATAAAATTTATGCCGTAAGCGAAATTGTGTGATCATTACAAATAAAAATCAAATTTAAAGACAAACTTTTACTTGTGCAATGTTAATTACGGTATTTGTAAAAAAAAGGGGAAACGAGAAAAACTGCAACAAAAATAAATTTTTTACCATTCTCTAGATGGAGCATACATTCGATATATCAAATTTGTCGGAATATATTTAATCAATCTTTTCGTGATTTCATCAGCTGCTGCATTAGATGATGTGCACACCAATATATTTTTCGTCGGAAAGTGTCTCACAATCTATCAACCAAAGAATTAAAATTAAAAAAAAAAAAAAAAAAACAGAAAAAATTAAAATTAAAAAAATAACTTAGCTCAATGTGTTAGATCTAACAAAGAAATTACCTGACATATAGTTTCAACTAATGTCGCTGTCTTTCCGGTACCAGGGGGACCAAAAATTATATAAGGTGCAGGGTATGCTGTCTTATTCAGTATCTTCCTCACTGCTTGCTTCTGTGGTTCATTTTCCTTCATATCAGCATTTATCCATTCAATATCGCTATATAACACATATGTTACAAGTTATGATGACGATATGATTCCAAATAATAAAATATTCGATTTTAAAACTTACATTTCCATATCTATGCAATTTGTCCTCAATTGTGGATATACAATCTCAATCCAATTGCATTTGCTTACTATCTCTAATGCATAATGACAGCATCTCAATGACCAATGTCTGTCCACAAAATGTATATTAAATCTTTTCTCCTTCATTTTCAATGTTTTGGCATTTCTAAATGATATATAAAATCATTATATTATTTATGTTACATATTATGTATGTTAGGCTCAAGGACCGAAAACGCTGAGCGAAAAAACCGACCTGTCGCGTAGTGGCATTTTCGCATTGCCAGAACGCGTTGTTTTTTGAAGTGCCACAATACGAATATCGCGTTGTAGCCTTTTTGGATATACCCGAACGCGCTGTGGTCGGTTTTTCGCTCGATGAACGTTTTCGGTCTTTGACATACATATTATATATTAATATATGTCTCTGTTTCTATCATAAGTGAAGGGTACAGGGAAAAAATGATCAAAGTCCACTTTTTGTTAAAATTGATCTGATCATGCTTATCTTGTGACATTTTCAAAGACCTTTTATAAATCTTATCTGTTTTCATCAAGAAGTTACAATTCATTTACAAAATAAGGCCGAAAGATGTACCGTGCTGGGGAAAAACGATCATAATCCGACGCGCTTGTGAAAAAGATCCAACAAAGCTCAACATACAATGTAAACACTATGCATATTCACTGCCAGTACTTTTTTCAATAGCCTCTTAAGATATCTAATGTCTTGAATTTTAAAATTGCGTTTTTCTCCTGTATCCTTCAATTACACTATTATATTACATTGCTATAAAGACTAAATATATTTACACAAATGTTAAAATATGTAGGGTAGACTGAATAGCTGAATAGCTTAATGGTAAAGTAGTTATATGTTAAACAAACGACTCAGTTTAACTTTCATATCTTGCCATTTCATATATAAAGAATTGTAAATAAAGATATTAGTTCACATATTGGAAGCAAGTATTCAAACTAAATCCAAAATGACTCAATAATACGTTGTGATACTGCGTTCTTGCAAAATGGAAATACAAATAAAAAATATAAAAGAAAAAAAGAAATCAAGATACTTTATGCCAATAAGGATGCACATATATACATGTGTGTGTGTGTGTGTGTGTGTGTGTGTGTGCGCGCGCGCGCGCGCGCGCGCGTGTGTATATATTGTATATAGATATCTAAAGTAAAAAAAAAATATTAAAGCATTATTAAAATAAAATTGTAGCAAACTTACTCAGGATCATAGGGCTTTATTATTACATCATTTTCTACCACTTTCACGACTTTTGCAAAAATTGCTTTTTTTGTATTATCTCTGATGTCTACTTCACAGTCTGGTTTAATTACATGAAGATCACCATTCAAAGATTTCAGGCTGATAATAAAACAATTTTCTAAATCAGACGTCTCAACTGTATGGTTTAACAATCTAAACCGTCCTAATTCGAGATCTTCTTCAAATTGTATTAGATATAAGCATATTTTCAATATGCTTAAATAATCCCGCTGAATTATTGTTCGTACATTAGACAAACTTTTAATGCACTTTTTATAATTGTTATGTAGATTTGAACGAGAAATAGAGTCCCCTTTTGGACAATATATACTTTTTAATGCACTACATAACTGAGATGGGATAAAAACATATGGCAACATAAGCTTTGGCATTAATGCAGGTGCGGTAATAGACCTGAAATTTAATAAAATTTAATGGTACAATAAATAACTAGCTTAATAAAAGTAAACACTTTTGCATGAATGTGCACAGTATTAATTTATAACATGAAATATTATTAACAAATTGTATATTCTGTTACATTTAAAAGCTATGTTTCATAATATAATATTTAGGCCCAGTTTCACAAGTGTTGGTTAACTTTTAATCTTAGATTAACTCACTCTTCGTCTTCTTCTAACGTCCCCCTTAGAAAAAGACGAAGAGTGAGTTAATCTAAGATTAAAAGTTAACCGACACTTGTGAAACTAGCCCTTAGAAGTTATCAATCAGTTAATTGACTCTCAAACACACATATGTAAGTCTCGCTACCCATGTGCGGTGTTAGTCCAGGTCTACAATAGGTGTTTTAAGGCGTAGTTTTACAAATGTCGGTTCACTTTTAACCCTTGGTTAATTCACTCTGTCTCTTTCTAAGGGAAATGTTAGAAAGGGACAAAGATTAAGTTAACCTAAGGTTAAAAGTTAACCGACGTTTGTGAAACTGGCCCCAAGTCCTAAACCTTAAAAAATTAATCGCTCACAGTCGATTACTCTCCTCAAATTCGAAAGTGATTGATCAATTTCTTGGGCTTAGGACTTAAAACACCTATTGTAGACCTGGGCTTAAGGGATGGTCCAGAAAGTGAGGTGCTTGAGGGTTAAAATGGTATATATCTCTAATATCATAATATTATAAATTATAACTTTTCTTACATAAAATCTTCGCGTTCCTGTCTCCTCTGCATGATGAAAGTAAATATTTGTTAAAATTGCCAAGTAAGATAAAAGCGTCAAATTGGACCTAAAAACAATTTTATATGTACATACAGAAAAAAAAGAATATTTAAATGTTTTTCAATTCTGCACAAATACATCTGCACAACAGAATTGTAAGTGGTCAGAAATTTCACATCAAAATATGAAAAATGTCTCCAAGTAAATACTTTTCTTTTTTATTTCTTTGTTATACGTTTTGTTTACCTACATATAGCAGCTGGTATTGTACGATACGAAACAAATATACAGGGTACTTACATTCACGTGAGTTATCACGGTAACCAAATAGCCACGCTACTATTTCCGATTCCGAGGTTATAAAAATGCTAATAGATTATAACGCATCATCCATAATCTTATACGATATGCATTTTTGATTCTCTTGCTGTCTCTTGCAGCTTGCACATTACACTGTTTTATAAATAAATAGATTAATCGGGGACTCCCAACTGAACTTGATATCCACGAGACGCTCGCGTATTTTGAAACGAAATGAATGGATGTTCAGCGCCTTCAGCAGAAGCGGAAGCGGAAGCTGCTGAAGCCGGAGAAAGCGAGAGCATCCCGTTTGGCCACGTTGCGATTTGAACGCGTTGAACAGACCAAGCCGCTCAGTAGCAGTCGAACGTGATTGGCTCTTACTTTTAGAACCAACAATCAACGTAGAGTGTTGATAAGACGACTCAACAGTTGTGTCTGCTGAACGCGTTGACCATAGCCACTCACAGCCCCGATGCTTGGAGTTTTTCCACTAAACCAGCCAATTAGAAATTTTTATTTTAAATCAGCCAATTGGCGACGCAGCTAATTGGGTCCCACTCATGGCTTCTGGGGATCGATTCTGTATCTTGGGACGAGATAAAAATTACAAAAGTGAGGAAATTCACTAGAGAATCTACAATTTCATTTGTCGAAATCTAGTAAATCTGTTCACTTTTGTAATTTTCACCTCGTCTCAAAATACCAGAATCGACCCCCAGTACAGTGAACTGTTGCACTAGTTCTCTTGCACTGTAATGCTAAAGTGCTCTTCACACTACGTATCGCGGACGCGGATCGGATTCAGATTGCGGATCGCGGATCGTAATCTAGCCAATCATAAACGAGCAGCTCATCTGTGATTGGCTGATATCCGATTCGCGATCCGTAATCCCAATCCGATCCGCGTCCGCGATACGTAGTGTGACACGGGCATAATGCTAAGACTCCATAGACGCGGAAACGCCGTGCGGTAGAGTGCGTTGACCAATCAGAAGGCTGCCGCAAGTCGCCTGCGGCAAAATCAAAATTTGTGATTGGTCAACGCACTCTACAAAAACGCTTCAGTGTACACTTTCTGAACTAGTACAGCCAGTTCAGCTACAAAGAACAAACCTTAGAAAAAGCGATAGAGAAATAGAAAGAGAACGCTGCATGTGGGCCTCTTCTGTCTTTGTCTATGCGCGCACGTGCGGGTCATGGAAGATTGTGTATTTTGGTATGTTCGGTATTCTGTAATACAGAATTTGTATGTCGTTTTGTAGCTAACTTTATTCTTATTTAAGTAACATTAGTACATTACGTTTTCTAAGAATAAAAAAAATGCTTAATATGCAAAATAGAAGCATCTCCTAAAAATTTAGAATTAAATATAGATTGTGATAAAGAGACTGAGATATGTGGGGAAAAGATGTCTGTGAATTCTTTTTTCAGTGGACAATAGCAAAACTTTATATTTTTATAAATATTTAATAATGTGTGTATTATATTGTTTGTACTAAAATTTGTGTTAAATAAATAAGACTGATTTAAAGAATTTAATTTTTGTGTTAAATAATGAGAGATGATTTATTTAACCATTTCATATATAATTGATTAACATTGTATGACTAACAATATGTAATAAATTTTGTTTTATTATTATATATATTGAGTATATATATATATATATATATATATATATATATATATATATGTTTCGTGGTTCTGGGAGTTCAATCCACAACACTTATTTTGTAATCAAAATTGTTTAATTTATTGAAATTCGCACAATATTGCGAGGTCTCGGCCTCGTTGGTTGACTTGGAAAAGATATTTAATTTAATTTAATTTATTGCGATTCTTAGAGTTGAGAAATACGTACAGTTATAGAAAGTATAAAATAAAGAGTGCCAAATAGTGAGGCATCAACACGATGTTGTTATTAAGCCTACCAGTGGAAACAGTGTGATGTTCGCTCCTTTCTGAATGTTAGTGAGTTATGCGCTGCTTCATGTCTTGTAACATGTAGCAAAAAATCGGTCGACACTTGAGCAGCATCTACACGTTCTTTTTTTTGCTAAAAGTTATGGTCGTTATTAGTTTTATATATGACATCGGTTTTTAATTATCAAGTTTTCAATTACCGTCTGTTTTTTGAAGGGTCATTCCCGACAGCTGGATTTGCAGCATTGCTAGATGTTGGTATATCAGGAAGATTGATCTGGAAAATATCTTATCTATAATCAATCTTATCACATAGTCAGTTGATTTACGAGGAGTAAATACCATTTTAGTCATTGAATCTGTAGTTTTAACTGCGGAATCTGCTTCATTATTCCATTTATTTTTCTACAACATAAAATTATCTCTATGATATTAAATGTTTAAAAATTTTACATATATTTTTACTTGTAACGATTTTCATTTCCATCTTATTTCTTTATATATATTTTTACATATATTTTTACTTGTAACGATTTTCATTTAAATCATTTCTTTTTGCTTTGAGATATTGAAAACTGTTATAACTTTTAATAATTTTATTAATATTAAAATAAATCATTATTTTCTTTTTAAATTTTTCGTGTATATACATACTCAAAACATACATGTCAAAAATACTTTGTTATATTTTCGTTATATGTAAATAAAATAAAATCATATTTTATGAAAATAGGGCATTATCTTTACTAAAACAATGACTTTGCTTCGCCAGTAAATAAAATTAACGCAGGTAGTTTTTAATCGACCCAACTGGCCACATTTATTCTTCTTCTTGTTGAAAATATGGCACCTGATTCCAACACTGAGGTCAGGCCATATTTTTGAATTAAAATCAGGATGTTTTATTGATTAAAAACTACCTTAATTATCTTTACTACATGATTAATTATACAATATTTTTAAAATTTAAATGTGTATTTTACACATATACATATATACAATCATATTGCACGATGGGTGCGTTCCACTTAACGCTCACAACGTTCGCGAGCATCATTTCGTCCTTGTTTAACATTTAATAAACAATAAGGATGAAATAATTCCACGGGCGTTGCGAGCGTTAAGTGGAACACACCCAATACATCTTATGCATGTACATATATATCCAGCAAACACAGAATACACCGAGTGCGCAATTTGATACCAAATTGCGCATTCGGTGCATTCTGTGTTTGCTGGGTATGGAAGAACATGTAAGTAATTTGTTAATTATTTTTAAATTGTTTACCTTTGGGATACATTTTGTTTGTTGCACTGAATCTAGTAAATTTTTATTCACCTACAACATTAAAAACATTCATGACACAAACAGACATGAAAATATATATTTTAACGATCAAATTGACAGATGCTTAGAAATTTTTAACCAATATATTACTTTGTCTTGAAATAACAATTCATTACCTTATTATCACTCATCTTAATTTTAGGACTCTTGCAGCATTGAGTGAAGTGATTTACATCACCACACTTTGTACACTTTGACCCCCAAGCGGAACACTTTCCGTGTGGATGCTGATGGTTACATTTCCAACAAACTTTCTTCGCATCATTATCCGGTGGTTTTTGTGGAGAACTTGTAGGTTCTGCTCTATTTTCTGCAGTAACTTGTTTCATCTTTTCAGTATTAATGTTAAAATCGTTGTAAATCGCTACTAGCTTCAACAAATCTAAATTAACTGCCTCAAGAAATTTTTTACGTAGTATTTTGTCTTGAGTGTCAAGAATGATTTTGTCTCGTATAATACTCTCTGTTATATCATTAAAATTGCAAGTTTTAGCTTTTTCCTATAAATAACAAAAACTTAAATACATGGCACATGTATGTACAATTTACAAGAAAAATATATATCACAAATATGACGTACTTTCAAGATATTTATATACTGTTCAATAGACTCATTTTGCTTCTTTGATCTTGTAAAAAATTGATGCCGTTCAACCACTTCATTTTTTGGTGGATTAAAGTATTCCTCGAGCTTTTTAATCAATATGTCCATATCATCTTTATCTTGCATATTGTCAAAAGATATATTTTGTATTGCCTCGATACCAACTTTTCCGATCCGATTTTTTAAAAGATTCGCACGGATTTCATTGGGTTTATCCATATATCCAGTTACTTTCATAAATATAATGAAATCTTCTTTCCAGCATTGCCAGTTGCTGGCCATGTCACCATCTTTCGTTAAAGGATCTGGAGCACGCGCGTGTGCTTCCATGATGAATGTGAAGCTTACTAAAAAAAAGAGTAATATTAGTCTTCTTTCAAAATCTTAATTTTAATTTATTCTTAAATTTATATCTGTATAATATGTGCTGAGATAAAAAATGCGATATAAAATCTTTATAAGATTATGCCGCATTTTTACATAGAATGTATGTGAAATGCTTGAGTCAATAATATATACATAAAAGAAATAAATTCGTATATCGATAAAAGGAAAAAATATGTTTAACATTTCGTCACTCTCAAGAACATCTACGTCAATTCTTGATGAATTTACTCGCATTAGTGAGGATAACGATGTATCATTTAAAGAAGACCGTGCACTCGATTTTATGCGCTTTATCTTCAAAAATAAAAATTTGCATAGGTACTTTTGCAATTGGGGATACTTGTCTTTGTTCAAAATTTTGAAGAACTCTGCGCTTGTTTCCGCTGGCGATTTCAGTGACATATCTGCACTTTGCAAATCGCAAAGTTCCAATTGATAAATCAATACTCTGCTCAGCTGTAGGAACAGTTCGAGAACTTTTCATAAAGAACAAGAACTTTTTTTTCAATAATTTAAAATCGCGGAATCGTGTATCAAATTGTGTAATTAATAAATTAATTAATACGCATATTTTTTAAAACCACACTTTGTGCCATGTTCTTCAACAAGAACGCTGCAAGAAAGAAAGGACAAAACTATTTCTTTCTAAATGACTTGAAATTAATTTTAATCGTGCACGGAACGAATCAACGTGACTCACTAATTCAGATATTGTTTGATTAGTCCGTTGGAGCTTCAAGTTCAAAGTATTTAGGTGACAGCTGTCAGATCTGTGATAAAAGCTATTTCGCAAAGCGACTCTACATCTTCGAAAAATGATTGAAACGTGTCCAGTTTTGCGATACCCATTTCTCGGATGAAAAGATAAATTTCTTCTTTTGCTGCAAAAAATTTTTGCAAAGTTTTTTCTAGATGCTACGAATCGAGAGGCAGTAAGGAAATCAGCCGAAAAGTGCGGTTAGTTCAAAAAATTAAGTTATCTAACGCGCTTACCTGATGACCGTTGAAAATACAAGATTGTTGTTTTTTGAAGATAAGACTCCGCTTGTTCGATGCAGAATATTTAAAAATTTGGGATACATGCAACGATCGGGCGTGAACAAAGGCGGATCTGCTATTCTGCTATTATCTGTGTTCCGTATTCCGTCATTGATCGTTATCAACCGCCAAGTGCCACGTCCACATTGGTCGCGTTCAGCAGACCAAGCCGCTGAGTAGCAGTCGAACGTGATTGGCTCTTACTTTTAGAACCAACTAATCAACGCATAGTGTTGATAAGACGAACTCAACAGTTGTATCTGCTGAACGCGGCCATTACTATGGTGTAAAAACCATGGCCAAACTTATGCTAGGTCTACAATGCGAGTCGTAAAGTCGTGAGTCGCAAAAATTGACCAATCACAGTCAATTATTCTCCTCAAATTTGACTGTGATTAGTCAATTCTTGCGATTCACGACTTTGCGACTCGCATTGTAGACCCAGCATTAGGGATTCTAGGATACGCTAGGGATCCCGGTTAGCTTAATCGACGGTTAAAGTTAGCAGGATTGACCAATAGAAATGAATCCACTTTGGACCCCTATTCTGTAACTCGTAACGACAGTGTCGGTATCGTTACGTTGTCGTTGCGCAGGTATACTATATGGAAAAAGAGCTGCGCAACGACGACATAACGATACCGACACTGTCGTTAGAGTTACAGAATAGGGGTCCTGCTTTCTATTGGTCAATCCTGCTAACTTTAAGGCCCCAGACACACACTTTTTCGTAACAGTAACAGTAGGATTTCGACCAATCGCGTTGCTCGATTCGAAAACGTACGGCCGTACGTTCCCGAATCGAGTAACACGATTGGTCGAAATCCTACTGTTACTGTTACGAAAAAGTGTGTGTGGCCAGCTTAAGGCCTTCACACATAAAATCGCGTAAGAACGTAAAACGTATGCGTAAGAAAATCGACCAATCCCAATCAAGTATTGCGCTGTCCGTAACTCCAGTAGGGGAAAATACTTGATTGGGATTGATCGATTTTCTTACGCTTACGTTTTACGTCCTTACGGCATTTTATGTGTGAAGGCCTTTAACCGTCGGTTAACTACAATCACAATCTAGTTTTTTCTTACGTCCAGTGGCTACAGATGGGAGCCAGGAGCCACTGGTAGCGTGGTAGCTCTATAATAACTAGAAGATCCGGAAGATCGCAGCGACAGCGACAGCACCTGCGTAATATTGCACTGGTGTGAGTGGTGTGCTTGTACCATTTTATTTGTATACATTTTTTAATCGCGACAAGTGCCGCAGCATGACGTTCCTTTGAAAGCGTTCGAGGTGAGCTGTAGTAAGCGTATTTAACGCGAGAATCGAAGTCACCCTGGGAAAAATTTACATTCTGCGTGTGTTTTAAAGAATTACGTACGCGTCCCCAGGTACAGTACATACATACATACATATGTTTGTGATTCCGTAATATTTTTCACCGATATTTTGGCCTACTTGATATTGCTCAATTCGCAGTCGTTCTTACTCATAAACGTAGCCGTTCTCTCGTTGAACTTTATGAGCCATTTTCAAATTTTTCAGATATTAACAACATGACAGCGGTATATCCGACTTTGCCGAAACTGGCGGTGAGAGACAGCCTCGACGACGACGACCTCACCGACATCGACGACGAGGTGTTCATCAGGGATGGGAGAAACGGTGGATTGAAGTTGGATGACGACGGAGTGAAGCGGCCCTTGATGGCACCTCGTAGAAAATCCAAAAAATCTTGCAGCTTCCAGAGTCATAAGGTCCCATACAAGGCGTTCCTCGTGCCATTATGCTATGGAATTACAGCCTTGATCATAGTGTTAGGCTTAATTGTACTTTGTATATTTACCGCAAATATATTCCCGATGCCGTTAACTATATTGAAAAGCTGGCTGTCGCCCGAGCTGAAAGAGCCTGCGAATGAATCTGAGATAATTCCGTGTACGTCACTGTCGTCCAAGGTTTTATGGACCAGATCGTTGCCAAAGTTAATACCTGAGGCACCTCTTAGGAGCAACGATGTTAACTCTGATGGAATTGAGGATATTATTGTGGGATTTAGCACAGGTATAAAAGCATCACGTTTAACACGAATAAATGGATGTTTTGTATTATTATTTTAATATTTTAATATTTTCTGCTTTCTTTTTTGTATATAATATAGTTTGCCATTGCACCCTATAGTGCATTGTGATTTACAATTAGCTACTTTTATTTTGTTTGCTTCTTTTACAGATTTTGTCTTGCTTCATTTTGTCTTGCTTCGTTTACACGATGTTTCTTAACAGTCTAAGGTGAATAATTAATGAATAAATTATTTTATGATTAAATCATTAGTTTAATCAGTCAGTATAACAGTTATTGATTTACAAATTCAGGTCTGGATACAGTGGATACGAAATATATCTGTACTATATATTTTGGGAGACAAACGCCATGTCTAGGCGGTGTACTGGCGCTGAACGGTAAAACGGGCGAAACCATCTGGACACATTGGACTGCCCATTCGATATTTTCCGTTGACTGTGGCGCAGACTTGACAAACGACAAGATTAAGGATTGCGTCATATCTGGACGCGGTGGAGTGCAAGCTATTAACGGCCGTGACGGTTCCAACATATGGGATATACCACTTCAAGATTCAGCTTCAGAGCTGCAAATAACTTTGGACGTTTACGATGCTAGATTTACAGCGGATATGGACGGCGACGGTACTGGCGACGTAATAGCGTCGCATGCCGTCCAATCGGACAACATTCAAGCGAGCAACATACTCGTGATATCGGGTAGAAGTGGTAATGTCATACGCAACATTGATTTACCGGATACGGAACAGCTGTTCGTGGCACCGCAAATTATAGTGCATCCTGACGGAGAAAATATATTTGTTCTGGCTACAACCAGTCAACAAGATGCCGGCGGATTATATATAGTGTCCCAAGCTAATATATTTTACGGTGATTTGGTATGTAGCATAAAAAAATCTGTCAAGTGTTTCAATGTGAAAGAATTATCGAGTTAATTAATACTTTGAATGCTTTTGTTGCAGCAATTACGAAAGCTCAATCATAACACCGGCAAAAATGCACTGTTGCCACCGATCCTAATTGATATTACGTCGGATGGAATTGAAGATATTGTCGCTGCTATGTTCAATTCTACGATTGTGGCATATAACGGATCTACGTTTGAACCTATCTGGAATTATACAGTCCCCAATTCCGAAGTAATCAGCATTCCCATTCCCGGTTATTATAACGACGATGATATACCGGACTTTATGGTAAAGCATCAGATAGGTACTGGTTTGGCCACGTACTATTATACCGTGGCCACGATCATAGACGGTCGTAATGGACTGCCTTTGCTTGAAAAACCGATGGAGGATAGCTTGAGCGGGCAAATGTCCGGTTTGTCGGTCACCGTCGACGGATTTGGCAACGACTGGTTTTTGCATTGGTCCACCGACTGTTTAAACTACGAGGGAGTCAAGGAAAAATATCAGTTCTTGAAAGAACAGAGTTTCATGTCGCAAACGCGCGCCGACCCCTGCTTCCTGAGATTCAATTCAACACTCACTACGAGACTTCTAGCTTTGAGCCAGCACGTCGGTCCGCCCGGAATGTCGTTGTACTTTTCGGAGGATTGGAAGTCCCTGGAATTCAATAATTCATTCGATTCACGAAAGGAAGAGGAAAAGTACCCGAACTCCTATTCGGGATTAAAAATCCCGGACACTTACGCAAACATACCGCTCGTTTCCGAGAGATCGCCGGGAGTTCATAAAAACCATCGAAAAGAAAGCATCTTCAAGCATAAAGATAATAATATACTCGAGATCGGCAAATACGACTCGGATGCAATATACGAAAACGTTGACGAATTCAAGAGCCACAAGAAGCACAATCCCGAGGACACCGTAGAGAATTTAGACGTAGATCAAGCATGGAAGCAGGATAACAAATGGATGGATGACGATATGCAGACGGATAAAGAATATGGTAGTATATACGAAAGTGATAATAGTAACAATGAAGACGGACAGCAGAGTGTGGATTATTCGCAAGGTGAAGTGCGAGAGCAGAGGAGCATTATTATAGCTAAGGATCCATATTCAATAAATATTTCTGACAAAGAACATGGCTCCAAGGAAATTAGCGATTACCCAACACCCGAATCGACGCAACATAATTTGCAGTTGGATCACAAGAATATTGACACAGAGAATAAGAGAGGAATGAAGGAAATCAAGGACAAGAAGAATGGCTCGGTGAACAAACCTGATACAATGAATATATTAATGACGCCAATTTTAAAATCTCAAGAGGAGGTATCGTCAACTATGTCGAGCGATAAATCAAATATGGAAAGGACTACTACAATACGGAGTGCATTAAATACGAGCGGATTAACAGAAGTCAGTATTAGTATGGAATATCTGAACGACACACACACCGATGAATCAAATGTTACTAAAAATCAAATGATCACCAATCATCAAGATGAAACTTCCACTACTAAGAAAGTCGTAGACGCGACACAGCGGAGACAGATTTATAAGCATAGTTTTCC